AAAAAAAAAAAAAAAAAAAGATTAATTTATGTTTTGTTTTTTGGTTTTTGTTTTCTTACTTTTTTTTTTTGTTGTTGTTGAAGTAGTTACTTATAATTTACAGGTATCGTGCTGTGTCAAAACCAATAGCTTATTCTCGTCAAACTCAAAATATTGTTCAAGTATTCTATATGTTAGGAGCAATTTGGCTTGTTTCAATTGCGGTTGCTAGTCCAATAGTGCTTGGTAAATTTATGCCTAAAAAAAAAAAGAGATAAAAGAAGGAAGACAAATACACCTATATAAGTTTATCTTTACTTAATTGTGAAGAAAACTGAACAAAAATTTCGGCTAAACTATTGACTTATAAATTTTAAAATCAAATCTCCATCTTCAGTACTGTTGATATCTGTCAGATTGCTTTTTTAAATTTTATAGCATTTTTTGATTGTCTTTTAAGATCACTCAAAAAATTTGCTATTATTATGCAAGTTTATTTTTTGTTTATTTTTATTTATCATTTTATAGGTGCTAATACTCGTCCAGAAAAGGATCCACTATATGAATGCCGTTTATATAATCCACTGTTTATAATACTTTCATCAATTGTCAGTTTTGTTATTCCCTGTTTTGTTGTACTGTTTGTTTACTTGAGGTACCATTTCTTCATTCAGTTTTTTCTTTTCTTTATTGGCTTTTGAACTTCTTCTCTACTTTTTTTTTTACAGCAGTATTATTTACTACTTCAAAGTAATATTTGAAGAATAAAAAACTAGATTTTTATAAAACAAACAAGTATATTTTGTATGCAAATTTTATTGCAGAATTTTACAAGAACTTCGAAAACGTGAAAAGGCAGCAAAAATTAGGCATTCTTCAAATGCTAACACAATGTCTATGCAAAGGTAATTTTGTTTTTTCATTGTTTTTTCATCTTATTTTTTTTTACACTACCATTATGATTTTCAATAGACGTCTATCGTCATAAAAATTATTTGTTGAAAAATAAGTCTCACTGGATTGGTAATAAATTGATGATTTTAAGCTCATGTGCAACATCTTGTAATAGTACAGCCAGTCTTGATGAACCAGGTCGACTGAACAACGATGCCGGTAACATTTTGATATTTGAATTAGTTGAAAACTACTCTAAAATATTAATAAAAAGCAATAATTTTAAGAGTTATAAATTTGTGAGCACTTTTTTTTTTTGGATTACTTTTTGTATTCCTGTTGTATTTATCTGCAGACCAATTCATAAAGTTGTCTAGTTTTTTTTTATCAGTTACTTTTCTACATAATGTTTTGCAGACGAAACAGCGTTATGTAAAGGAAGTGGTTCGTTGTCTGGTCATACTTCGACAAGAACCGTTCCATCGACAAGAATGATAAGTGTTTTTAGGTATAAATTTTTATATTTTTTTTGGCTTGATGATTATTGCTGAAACTTTGTGCAAAAAAAAAAAAGAGCTAAATTTATCTTGTTTTGATGATAAAATTGCTGTTTTCGATTAATGCTTTTAGACTAAGTGATTTGCTATCTGCAGGGATGTACATACACAAAAAGACTTTTTTCTTTTTGCAGCTAATTTAATTGCATTAAGATAAAATTAGTTCAAGGTTTTTCTATTTTTTTTTTCTTGCTTTCACTTCTTCTAACTATAGTTGTTGATATTCGGCGGCAGTTTACAGTTTTAGGCGATGGGTTTTAAACAATAATTTTCGTCAAAACTTTCGGCAGTTTTATATCCATAATCGGTTTGGAATGTTGCGAAGAAGCGAAAAAAGGTACAGCAATGCAGACGGTGGTGAAAGTATTTTAACTACTTTTGCCAATAACAGTCAGAATGATGGAGATTTTGGTCTGCTTTTACTTTTAAAAGTATCACTCAGTTCAGCATTAATTTTTTTTTTGATGCTACTATATAACATTACGTAACACATTAACCTACGAATAAAGTAAGCATGAAGTAGAGATAAAAAAATTTTCTTGGCACATTTTTCCAAAATATTTTCAAACAGTAATCTCCTCAGCCAAATTCTGTTTTATAGCTTCAAAACAAAAAGAAAAATAGATTGAAGAATGGGAAAAAAAGTTTTATTATTTTTTTTTCATTCTCAACAACTGTTTTATAATGTTTAAAATTCTGGTCATTTTCTAGTTATTCTTTACTTAATTATATCTTTTTTATTGCCATATTGTCTCCTGGAAAGGCAATTATTTTTAGGTGATATGCATCTATAACCATTACATATAAGCTGAATA